AGTAGTGACATTTGTAGTAACACTAATTGGTAATAACAATATTCTATCTCTATTTATAATGAGTAATGATACTCATATATATTCATATCAACCAAACATAACCTACAAAAATCATGCCTTTGAGATAAACTCTTGGATACATTCATCCAACCTAAAAAACGAGAAAACCCTAGTCCACAAAACTTTCCAACTTGCGAGAATAAGAATTAGGGTTGTCAGTCATACATAGTTGTACCCTTGTATTTTTTTTTATAAAGAGTTTGTTTTAGGACTCAAGCATGTGATCTTCACGGTCAGAACAAAAAACCTTACCAAAGTCTAGCTAGCCCTTGGAAACATACAACCTACATGCAATAAAATATATAATACACATAAATTTCCCTTTCCTACCTCATCATTTGTCTTCGCATTTGGATTGCTCATCATCAAAGCAACATTGGCAAGATTGTCCTGATGTGTATGGTCTGTGACTGTGGCTGCTATTGGCTCAAAACAATGATCTTGGATATCAAGTTCAGAACCAGAAGCAACTGAATCAACAACGTGCATTATCCCATCATTATTGGTGGTAATTTCATACAATTCTCTTGAGCAATGATGCGCATGAGTAGAATCTGCAAGAGCCAGATCACTTGAGTAAACATCATTTCCATATTCTGAAGAAACCTTAGCCTTTGATGTGCCAAATGAGTTGAAACAGCTAGCATGGGGTGATGCGAAAACACGAGGAGGGGATGAAAAGATGAGTGAATTGAACGTCTGAATATTGTTAAGAGACTTAAGGGGCTTCAAAGGAGATAAATTATTGATATAGTTGAACACAGGTGAATCCTCTAAGTTAGGGGAGGGAGTGTTCATTTGGTTCCCCTTTGGTGTCTCCATGTTCAGAGAGGCACCACCTCGCTCTTCTCTTTCTCTAAATGTGGTCTTTTATGAATTTTATAGATGAAATGAGGGTTCAAGAAGTGATAAAGAAAAATAATAATGATAATAAGTGTAATTGTTACCTAAATTAAGAAGATTTAATTGAATGATAATAATTAAAAAATTTATTTGATTGAATAATTATAATTTTTAAGCGTAATCACAGAACACTCAACTTGAATATTAAAGTCCTTTTATTTTCCATTTTGTGTCTCACTTGTATATTTACATAGTTTCCTTTTGTCATTGATAAGGGTATATTTGAATGTAGATTCAATGAGGAAGGAACGAGTAATTTTTCGTTTTTAAGTAAATATTTATAACACTTGAAAAAAATTACAGTAATTTTTTTATTTAACATTTAAGTTATCCATCTTATGACTTAGATTGGGCCTTGTACCCTTTGGACATACACCTTGCACACGTCTATTTGTTTTAGGAAATAAAAATAAAACAAAAAATAGACGTGTGAAATCTATTCTTTTGTACAGAGTTAAGAGCTAAATTTGAAAATTAATTAATGTAGAAACCAATTGGGATCCAATTTATTTCAGTCTTCAGATATGGTAGTTGTTAAATTTTTACAATCAAAAAGTAATATGGGCCTGAAACTTCGAGTTTTTTTTTTAATTGTGATCTTGATTTTTTTTAAACGGTTTTATAAAGTAGTTTATAAGAATTGATTTTCAAAATAAAAGATGAAAAATTTGTTTTGAAAAGAGTTTTAAAATTTGAAGAAACAAATTGTTTGGTGAATTTTTTAACTGTTTTTTATTGACTCAAATAAAATGTGATAAGTACGTATATAGAAAATAAATATATAATTCTATAAATACATAAATAACCTTAAATTTATTTAAATTTTTTTGATTATAATCACAAACCACATAAAAAATACATAGCTCACCAAATTTGTAACACCCCGTGTATACCCGGAATATTAACATGACATCGTATTAAGCGGTGCTTAATTAAAAATGTGGAATATTCTTTTTCTTTTCAATTATGACGTCATTATCAATTACCAACTTGATTACTTAATCAATTTCATAAAATATCGCCTGTATGTAAATTGCAATAAGACATCTACTGAAATACCTCAATATATAGATAAAGTATGTATCTAAATCACGGCATTACATCAAGTAATCCGGACAATATCCTGATACATTATTACAACTCCAAAAGACTCAAGACATAAACAAGACATAACAATACTATGTGTCATGGACAATCCCCATGCTCACCAAATAAACAGAGTAACCAACGAGTCTCAACATAAAACTCCAATACATAAACTGAAGCTATAAGCATAAAAGTAGCATGCAAATCCAGCATCCAATCATGGCAGCACAATGTAACAGCAATCTAACTCAGCTCCGGCCTCCTGCCGCCTGAGGTCTCAACATTACCTGACCCTGAAATAAGCATTCCCCAAACATGGGGTGAGATCTCTAAACTAGAAATATCAGTAAGACAAGGGGTCCTCAAGGATCTTCCACCCCAAGCTCACTTACATGTGCAATATAAGTTCAAAAAGCATATATATCATTATCAATTCCAAAACTATGTAGTGCAACAGATATCTATGGCATGTGTGTAAACACTATCTACTTGCCGGAGAAATGTAGGAATACGTCTATTCCCTACATGTAGTACAAGGAACACCGCTTGCACCTCACCCACAGCCTCACCCTCTTGTATGTTCTACATACTCAGGCTTGCCGTATAGGTGGAACACCTCCATGCATATCAACAAGGCACTAACATACAATAGCTCAACAGCATTTCCAAAACATCAAAAGCATGTAACACAGCATACATATACCATATCCCCATGGGACATGGTGGAACCACAACATGGTTAAACCGAGGACACGAAAGCCTACCTCTAAGTAGCTATCCACTGCCACAAGCTCAAAGTCCAATCACAGCATATCACAATCTGATATGGACCAAATATAAATCAATAAACATGTACCACATGCATACAAATTAAAGACAACGTCTTTTCATTACGTTTTCAAGTCTTAAAGCTTCTAACAAAGCCACAAGCCCTTAATCCCATGATTCTGGCTTAATCCATTAAAAACAGAAGTTCAACTTCATCAATCCAGGGTCTACAAACCCCCAATAGCCTACTGTATGCACAACACAGCTACTGTTCTGTGAAATTCCAGAATATCCGGATATTCCTCGGGACCATATCCGGATAAGCAATATCCGGATATACAAATTCACATATCCGGATATCCTAAAACCAAATATCTGGATATCCAATATCCGGATATCTGTTCGACAAATATCTGGATATTTCACGACAGAATGCAGTTTCTGCATTTTCGTGAAGATATCCCTCAAAGGTTCCCTTTTTACCAATTTTAAACATCTAATCATGCATTTCTAGGCGTGTTCAACATTACCCAACAACAAGTTATCATCGTTTAGTCATCAGATGCATCAAGGTACCATTTTTAGACCTTAAAACTCAAGTTAAAGGTTGGTGATCATACCACAGCTCAAAAACAGCAGAGGGAGATGCTCTTGGAGCTCAACACAGCCCCTCAAGTCTGACTCAAGGAAGATGCACGAAAATGGCTTCACAAAGGTTAGTTCTTTAACACAAAGGTCACCACTTAGACCTCCAAAAACCAAAACCAAGCTTCTTTCAACCCAAAACCAACAAGTCAGCAACCAAACCTCCCTCACACAGACTTCACAACTCAGAAACAACACCACAATGCAGTCCCAAGGCCAACCCTCACCCTTACCAAGTGTTTAAAGGAAAGAACAAGCATCAAAGGTTAATGCTTGCTCAAGAAATGGAGAAGGAAGCTTAAGAACACTCTTTCTGGTCAGCCTCCAAGAGAAGCCACGCAGCCAAGTAGTTATCTAGGGTTGTGTGCCCGTTAAAAGCCATATTTATAGAGACTTACTCATTAAACACACAGTATTAAATTTAATTGCTACGCTTAGCATTTTAATCCCAAACTTTGGATTAAGAAACTACATAATTTTCTAAGAATTAACATTTTTTTCTTATATTTTTCTGAGCAACTTTCCGGTACGCGCTTTTCAAAGCCAGTACCGGTTTCTAGCACCAGTTCTCATTATTCGGACTTGAAACTCATTTTACAAGTCCTACATATTATTCTAGTAATTATCATGCACTTATTTTAATTTTCCTGGATACTTTTTCGGCACGCATTTATACCGACTAGCAGAACCGGTATCAGCACTTTTCTTCCGAAAAGCGACTTTTAGCATTCTTAATCACTTATTATGATTATTAAGCCTCATAAATTATTATTAGGGTCAATTATGGAATCATTTCCTATTTTTGCATAATTAATTAATTAAATACTTTAATTAACGGTGCGGGTTCTTACAAAATTCATCATGACTTAAAATCTGATAAAATTTCGTCAAAGGTACAAACTTAACTTTCTAATGAAACTAGTTGATTACCCGTGCGATGCACGGAGAAAAAATAAATCGGTTTGTTTGTCCCGTAAACGAATTAATAAGAAAATCGGTTTGTTCGTATGACATAAATGTGTAACTTTTAAGGTAGGAACAAAAAAAGAATATAATAATTTAAACGCAGTAAATTCCATTGTTGACAGCAAAATCTCCATTAAAAAAATCTAAATGTCATGTTGACAGCAATATAATAAGAAATATGCCCAACCGATACTCACAACAGTTGTAAAATATCATCCGCCATGCACTATTGGTATTTGCTGCTGTTCGAAATGAATCATAAACAATATATAAACAATAATTGGAAAAGAAAAAATTATTGAAGGGAATTATATAGTTTATGCAGATGAATAATTCAGAACTACAAATAATCAGCGATAAATAAAATAAAGAAAAGAGCAGAATAATGGAATAACAGCAGCTCGCACCTTTTTTTGAAGTCGACAATCTCTGGTACACTGGGATCGATAAATATCCTCGTCGTATACTTTGTATTTGTTATTCCAATTTTTTCTTTAAAATTTATTATTAATTTCAAAACCATAAGGAGGGAAATAAACTAAAACATTCCATTATGAAATCATAATCAAATATTATGTGAACTCACCCCTGAAACCCTTTATTCTAGCAAGCTGAACTATCATCACGTTTTGAGGAGACTGATTACTCCCCAAAATTTGTTGCACCTGGTCCACGTAGTCCTCCCAGAGAGTGCACTCGAGCTTGTGACCCCTACTTGCACAGTTTTTGCAACAAATCACGAAATAGAATTTTACATCAAATGAACATAACACATAACAAATAACCAATAGATACCTGAGGTTATCAAGCTCCACGACAACCATTTTTGTCTTCCTACCGGAGATAATATGCTCACGAACTTCCCCTATTCCAGAGACTAAACCAATGACATCTACACATTAAGGATGGTTAGAAAGATGATATCGTCACACAAACAACAAAAGCATGACTTACAGCATGAACAGGTCAAAATCTACAAACCTACTAAATAAGGGGAATCAGAAGACTCTTTCTCTATAACATCAAAATCTACAAAATCAAATCCATTGGTGGGAATAGCAGAATCAATAGTGGATTTTACATCAGTCCTCAAGTTGAAAGACAAACGATAATCATGCTTAGTTGGCCTGAAACTACCACTATTCAAACCAACTCCAAATTTTTTTATGAAATAAACTTCTCCTTTGTAAAATTTTTTACGGATATGCAAAGAACCCTTGACAGCAGCGTGGACCCTTCCACCCTACAAAACGCATGCATAGATTAGTACATTTTAAAAACATGGACCGCAAACCAACAGTAATATCAAAAACAAAACAAAAACAAATACCTTTTCATCTAACAAAATCATCTCTACGTTGTCGTCAAAATTTTTTTGCTGAAAATTAGGAACCTTCCACGTTCTAACAACTCTAGCCTTAATCCTCCACTCCTCCTTAGTAGGATTAAGATCCTTAATAAAATCATACCTGGAATACATAACCAAACGTATATGAGGTAATATTGGCTCAAAGCCTTTGAGGACAAAGAAAAGAACGAAATAGAGACGCTACAAATGTGCCCAAAGAAGCTGATCAGCAAACAAACATATGTTGTTCCAAATACCTATTTATACACGAATATGCACTATTCGATTTAAAAATGGTCATTTAATTATTCGATTTAAAAATTAAAATTCGATTTTTAAAAGAAATTCTTTTTAAATTTCACTGTATGTTTAAAAAGAAATTCGCATGAGAGCATGATTTCCTATAAAACGACCATTGTGCATGAGAAAGAATCTGCTTCATATCGTAGGAGAGCATGATTTCCCGTAAAAGATTTGGTCTTTTGTATAATTCTATTTTTTTTTTGTCGAAAATAATTTCTTTACTTTCAAATACCTGAAATTAATAAAAAAAATTTACTGAAAATATTTTTTATGATATTTCTTTCAATCTTTTAGTTATGTTGTTTAATTATTCTAATATAATAATCTAAAAAATTACTTTTTTTAAAAAAATTGTTTTATATACACACTTTCCATATTAACTATTCTAATATAATAATCTTAAAAATTACTTTTTTTAAAAAAATTGTTTTATATACACACTTGCCATATTAACAATTATTAATAATTAACTTAGTTTTTTTACACCTAATTAATTAGACACCATATTTAATTATAAGTTCGATAAGAAAATTTATGATATGATCTTAGGGTGCGTTTGCTAAGCATTTTTATTTTATTTTTTAATAAAATTGTTTCATGAAATTTTAAAAAAAAAACATACAGTGACCCCCTTTGTAACACCCTCCCTTGTATGCATCCAAGAGAGTTGTTTGTTAAGCGGATTAGAGACTTAACGTTAACGTGTGAAATTCTCGTTTAGTAAAAACTTTTTCATTTAATATCAATTAGAAAAGCTTGCTTAGACACTGACTTGGAGAAATAAATCAGCAAGAAAATTCAAAAAGGCTTTCGCTGCGAAACTCTGATTTTTCCCGAAAACGATCTGTCTTGAAAATATTATAAAAAATCCGAGTACAAAAATTTACAAAAATCTTCTTTGCTACTAAGAACCTAGACATCTGGGGCTTCGCGTACATATAAATTATACGCGAATCGGAGGTCTCTAGCCTCACGAAACAGAACTCGCAAGTTCCTCAAAATTCAGTGTATTTTCCAAAAACCTCCTGACTGGTAAAATTTATAATAATTCGAGTTTTCAAAGTTTCATTGTAAGGGTTACATAATCTGAAAGTACACAGCTGGGGCTTTGTATCCATATAAAATATACCTCAATCGGAGGTCCGTAGCCCCAAAACGACAACTCGCAAAGTGCTCGCAAATCCGTTTAAAAATCAGCATATAATAAAATGTTCAGAGATTGCTTTCGCACACATTTCAGAATTTTTCCAATGTTACCAACTGATCATAAAGGTCTTAAAAACAGAAACAAAATCATAATCCAACTGTAATCCAAGTTACTCAATTGAATACAGTCATCCATCAAACATCAGCAACAACAATAGTCCATACAGCAGCAAATAACAGCAAATATCCAATTAAACATGTCTTCAAATGCTCTTCCGTCCTCCTGCCATTTTGTAAAAAATAGCAGCCCCAAAGGGGTGAGAAAAATCCCAGTAGTGTGGCAACAAAACCAATAATGCAACAATATTAAACTAGGCACAAGATTATAAACAGTCGCTACAAACATTAAATCCTTTTCATCATAGTTCCTTTTCATCATATATCATATTGCGTATATAACACCTTCTTCACGCTCATAGCACCGTCGTGCGCGTGCATACACAGTGGGAATTCCATGCAACGGCACCCTCATTTATTGAATCCCACTGTGACCTATGCGGATGGATGCCAAGTGTCCCATACCCTGGTACTGAGGGATGCCTATATGATGCGTGCTCAGTCACATGATCCTGTATATACTATTCTAAATTTTCAAGACTAACATGAATTCGGAGTATGCATGCCATGCTATGCTGTCACACACAAACAAAAAACAAATGCGGTATGATGCAAGGTGCATGCTTATATCATCATTGTCATAACATATATTTCATGTATATGGGATATCATACTGCCAAGCCATACTTTCTTTTCATAACAGAATTTCCATAATCATAACATTTCCATAGGCAGAATAATTCATCAATTATGGCAGAATAATCATAAGGCACATGTGAGCAACAATTCACAATTCATACACTGGTTAATAGTCACATCAGGTAATACCACCTAACACATGGAATGCCACAATTATTTATTAAATAGCAGCAACAATCAGCCCACACTCAAGAGTTATTCGCACCTAAGCAAGAGTGCAGTTAAATCAGAATTTTACTCATACAATTAAACAATTCAGCAACAAATATGCTCTGCCTCCTAGTCCCTGTACTTATTCAGTTTATCATGCCTATTTTACTAAATCAAATTCTGATTTCATATTCATTTAATAATTCATTAACAGCAAAAGGACTCAAAGCTTCCAATCTATACAAATTCGGTTTTCATCATTAAAATACATTAAGGATCTTTATTCTTATAATCCTATTATTCGCATGCCATGTCCATGTCTTCCAATCTCTAGTGTTTAATTAGGTCATCATGCTTCTTGCATTATTAATTTTTTGTCCTACATTTTATTCTGTCAGTCGATAAGAAACCACAACAAAATCCCAAGATACTATGTTCAAGCAGATTCGGTTTTAGGCCCTTAAATAGGTGCTCGCTATTTTTCCTATATCAAACTTCTAGTGACATCATTAAGGAATGAAAGATTAACAATTTAGCATGTTGTACTCGGTTCTCCTACACATGCAAGATCACATATTTTTGGTTCTCTTCAAGGACGGTCCAAGGCTATTGAGGAGCTCTATTTCCAGCTCCCAAGGAAATCAATTTCAGTTTGCATAAACTAGTTTCATGGCTGTTCACAAAAATTCGTTTTAAGGCCTACATGCCTTACATTCTTAGGCTGTTCTAAGAAGGCAGAATTTAAAGGAAGTGCCCAAATAAAATGTTCTCCAATTCTTGTAATTTAACCTGTTCTCATAATCCCTAGACTAGATAGGTTGTCTGGCTGAAAGCTAACACACCAATCGGTTAACAATGAAACATCCAAGTGCTCTAATACATTCTTGTACGGTTTGGACCACACCAATCGTTAGAAGTGTTCATGATTCATTCAATTTTACAACCATTTCTACACTGCCTAAGGTGCGTTTAGAGGACTCCTAAGGATGTTGTACACCTAAGTCTCATACATGCAAAACCTACTTAATTTGGCTAATCCAATGGCAGCCCAATAATAAAGAAACTATCTCCAAACTCACAATTTAATTAAGCAAGATTTATAGGTACTAACTCCAAGGCTGATTAAGTTTTCTGCTTTTAATTTTAATCCTACCACAAGTTATCAAGGTTCATCCTTTTTATTTTAACATAACAAGACTTGCAATCACAAGTTGTGCTACCAAGACCGTACACATGCTGCCCCTAAGCGTATTAGCAATTGCAAGGCCAAATAAGGTTTTCCGATCCAAGAAGCAATCCAACAATTTATAAGGGGTTATTTCCAAATTCAAAATTTTTGGTTTAGGTTCACATGCATCAATTTCTAAGGATGTACCTATTGACAGATTTCAGGGAGGAAATGGCACAAACAAAATTACTTTCCTATCATACATGAGGGGCCGAACAATTAAAGAACAAAGAAGGGTTTAATAATTGACTTACTTCTACTTTTAGCTGTGTGCCCGAGGGAAGGAAGGAATAAAGGTCCAGCTCAATTCATCATTTGCATGCAAAAGAAGGCAACACTAATTCAGACCAGATCATGCGCATGCAAGGTGAGAACCCTTTTTCAAATCGAAATGAATGAAGAAGGGGCAGAGATGTAAAGAAGACAGGTTACCTTCTTAGAGGTTGGAATTTCGGCCGAACCAAAGGATAGGAAAGAAGTAGGTGAAATTTTGAGCTTCACCATGGCTGCTGCAACTCATGCGAACTAGGGAGGACATGACCGGGAACTTAGATGATAGTTCCCCTCTCAATTAACACACGATTTTCCTGGAGCATAAGAGAAGAGAGTGTGGTATTGAAACTCAATCCATGGTTGATAAGCTTAGTGGGTGTACGGTTGGGGTGATGAGAGGGTGGAGGTGAATCAGATTTTGATTTTGTTCTTGTGTTCTTCTCCCAACTAACCTACGGCCAGGCGTGGAAAGAAGGAGGATACAATGCTGTTCACAAATCTGAACCAAGTGACTAACAATTCCAATGGTTTACCTATCCTATGCGTACAAGATGAGGTAACGAGAGAGAAAGGGATAAGGTTTGCCATTGCCCAATACAATTTCATGCATGCAAATTTCGTGACAGGTAAGGTTGGACATGTGTCCCTTTTGGCCAATCAAGAGCAAGGGTGTAGATTATGTTTAAGGATAATCTAAGGATCATGAATAGAAAATATAAAGCTGCCCTAACCCTTCCTTAAAACAGTTTGGGCCGTGGCCTATGGGAGAACTTGGACCTAATAATTTATGTAAACCCTATTGTTTCATGAAGCCACTTAATTGTAATTTGAGTTTTCGTAAGGGTTCCTAAAATATTCTTACAATATATTTCTTTCGACATTTAATCCATGACATACATTCCTATCCTTCATGACAAATATTAAATAACTTCTTAAAGGTCACCTATCTTATGTAATATAATATTAATTATTATTAGTTGTTCCCACTAGTTATTAACTAGGGTTTCGAATTCTTAAAATATTTAAACACTCGTTTGTAGTTTCACCAAAATAATTTTCCTAATTAAATTGATTTCACTCTATGATT